ATGATTGGTACGGTTTCGAAAAGTCTAATTTTGGTTATATATAATAGAATAACCGAAAAATTGGTATGGTACAAATTTATAAAATAACCGGCTGAACCGAACCATTGACACCCCTAACAACAACTTTGTTAACTATGAGACAATTAACAGATAGAAAATTGCACGTTGGGATGCAATGCACCTAAACAGTTAAACGCTTCTACCATGTGTTGACTAGTTATGTGTTTCATCTAGGCTTTAATTATCACTTTCCACTCTATAACTCTTTTCTTCCATTTCTGGCTCTCTTTTGGTTTTACTATTCTCTTTCTCTTGATTTTTCTCCTATATTTTTGTCACTCTTTATTTTTCTTTTTTCTTTTTCTCTTGATTTTTTTTGTTTTTCACTCAATTCTTTCTCTTTCCTCTTTTTTTGTTTATTTTTTACTTAGTTTGGTAATGGCTATAATCGCATCTGATGGGGATTGCCTACGTATCATAACGTCGCCTGAATCAGATCACTACGAAGTTCAAGGAACAAATGGCTCCTAATGAGGGAAAATATTTTGGATTTTCTTTTCTTCTCTTTTTTTTTTGAAAGAAAGACTTCTAAAAATAGGAAGAAAATGTATCTCTTTTTTTTTTCAGGATTTCAATTTTGTTTTTCAATTTTTCTAAAGAAGAAAGAAAATATTTTTGGATTTTGAATGTTGCCTTTGAATTTTCCGAAAGAAATACCTCAAAGAAAATATTTCGGATTTATGAGTTTTCTTTTCAATTTCAGAAAGCAAACTTTGAAGAAACGCGAAAATATTTTTTGACTTGTATTTTAATTTTTTTATGAAGTTTACAAAAGAAAGATTTCTAATGAACAAAGAGATTTATCTTTTGAAATATGACTTATTTTTTTCTTTTTTTTTTTGGAAATTTTGGAAAGAAATACTTTTGAAGGAGAAAGAAAATATTTTTTAATTTTTAGTTTTGACTTTATTTTTTAATTTTTATTTTGAATTTTTGGGAGAAGAACTTCTAAAGAAGGAAAAAAATATATTTTTGGATTTTGATTTGATTTTTTTTTTCGAATGAAAGACATCTATAAAGAAAGAAAATATTTTTGGATCTTGAATTTTCTTTTCAATTTTCGAAAGAAAAACTTCTAAAGAAGAATGAAAATGCTTTTGGATTTCGAGAAGAAATTAAAAGTTTTTTTTTTTTTGGGATATTTCCAAGAAAGACTTCTCAAAAGAAGTAAAGGAAAATATTTTTGAATTTCTTTTTTAAAATTGCGGGCCGAAACCGATGAGGTTTGCCTACGCATCTCACATCCCTTGAGAATCAGACCCGCGTAGTTTGTTCAGTTTCGACACAATAGGAAAAATATGATTTTTGAAAATATTGGCTCATTTGGAAATGACTTTTCTTTTTCTTCTTTTTTTTCAAAATTTTGGCAAAGTTTCGGAATTTTTCAAATACCTAGATTTTTCAGAAATGGAGTAAATTTTCTCTCTCCTACCTCACTCTTGGTTTTCCTTGATTTTCTTCCCCTATTCTAGAAGTCAGTCAACATGCGAGCCGAAACAAACAAATGCACAGTAGCACGTAAAATGCATCAGGATGGTCTTTTAATTTGGGTACACCTGTCCTAGACGGACCCAACTCCTGTGTTGAGTCTCCAAAGTGGAATGGACGTCGTGAAAACAAACGTTCCTACTAGGGATCCGGCGTGAGGCTTTGTTATTCTTGGTTTGAATCCTGGGGTGTGTTGTTCTAGACCTGACTTACCCGAGCCGACAGCTCGAGCCGGGAGGGAGGGGCAACGTACCAGGAACCAAAAGGCCATCCGACTTTGTAAATGTCCGATCCTCGTTCTACAATTAAGGGTATGACACTCTAACAGAAAAGAAGCCACGCCAGCGTGTGCTTCCCAGAAGATTTAGAAGACTCAGAGAGAAGGGTGTCGTAACAATTTTATATACAGTTCAAACAATATCAAAACGTAAAAAGCGGCAATTAGCACATTAGGCCCAAACATGTAATATCAGACAATCACAAGAAAGCCAAGCATAACAGTTATTTTAAGCTTGAATTCTGAACCCCGAACCAGAGATTCTGGTTTAGATCCCCAGCAGAGTCGCCAGAGCTGTCACGCCTCCTTTTTTCGAAGACAAGGAATTTTTTCAATTAAAGTGACATTATTCAAAAAATTTATTTATTTAATTAGAGTCTCCATTTGGAATATTTATTATGTTGTCCCAAGTCACCGGTTTATTTTAAAATTCCAAATTGAGAAAATTGAATATATTTATGATCCGCGAACACAGAAGACCAGGTAAGAAATTTGTTAATCCGGGAGAAGGTATGAGATACTCCCAAGTTCTGTGATTTTAGCACGGTCGCTTAACAATAATACTTGGTTTAATTATCTAAATTACTACATGTTTAAAAACCTTTTATTCGTTACCGCTTCTACACCGTTGTTAATTATTTTAAACAATTATGGTTCATATTTGAACAAATCATGATGCCAATCACGCCTCGTTAAACGTACTCATGATTCACAACGTGTTTGTTTTAATTGTTTGAAATTGTGGTCAAGTCGAGTGTACGGGCACTTGATTTGGGGTTTACGTATCATGACAAATGCCACGGGAACCATACCCATAGTCACGATAATTTATTATTAATCGCGCCTAAAGTAAATTAGGGTGTTCAAATTATTTGATTTCTAGATTTGAAGTTAAGCGTGAGGTCCGGGATCAAAGGATTTATGAGTATAAGAAATAGACTATGAGTCTTAGCATGAACGAATCTCAAGGTGTAAAAACTTATTTTTTGGACCGACCACTACAATTCACAAAGAAATTTGATAGTTAAGTTAAAAGGAAATGATTCGAGCCAATTAAAAGGGAAGGCATAGCCGATTGTGTTTCAAGAGTATGATTAGTTATTCTATTAGATCTGCTTGATATTACTTCAGCTATGGGTCGAGTATGATTGAAGACCTACGTGAGATCTCAAACATGCCGGTTATGAGCAGACATGGGCTAAGCATGAAGCCCATAGCATTAAGCTTTGTACATAAAAAGGTTTATCACTTAGTCAATAAGTAAAATACTGAAGGGATGAATGATGTCCAAACGCGCTTTCATGTGAAGCCCAGTATATGAGATCTTCCAGTTTCTAACTTTCATTTGAAGTCTGGGCCTTGCAGCTGTACAGTCCAAGTAATTACAGCCTTAAAAAACGGCCCAGCTATGCATGTGATTAATTGGATATAATCTCTAAGACTTTAAGTAGAACATCCGGGCTTCCGAAATGAGCCCCAGCTATAGGAAAATAATGGGAAACTTACACAAATGTCCCAAATAAATCTCAACTTACCAACCTCTAGCCATTAGTCATAGACTTACCAAAACTAGCCAACGAAAATTGAAAAACCAAATAATAGGATTCTTTCTCTCAAAGAATCACATGCAAAAATCATCTTCCATACTTTTAAGCGTGAATAGAAACATTAGATACAAGACGGAAAGGAAATTTCATGGACGGGGTAGCAAATAAGGTGATGAAATACAAAAATCTATACAATATTCCAAAAATCTAAACAAAAAAGAAACTTTTTCAATGGGTATAGTTGAAATTCATTGAAAATATATAGATAAGTCAATATACAAAATTTGAGGAAGATTGAAGGTGATTTGGACTGGTTTTGCATCGAAATTCGAAATTAAATCGAGTTCAAAAAAATCTTCTGCGACACATGTATCAAACATGTATCACGCATGTATCTCACACACATGTATACATGGATATACATGTGATACACAATTGATACAAATATGATACACATGTGATACACAAATGATACATAGTGTGATACACATATCATTTTTTTTCATGTTCAGCTTTTATTTCGAATTTTCAATTAAAACCACCTCAAAACTTCACCGAATCATCCCAAAACTGAGATTCAAGCTCTTTAAGTTGTGCTCAATCTATTCTAATAACACCCACTCAAAACAAAGCAAAAATTTGATATTTTTTTACTACAAATAGCTAATTGGCTAATTTGGCTAATATTAGTAATATTTTATCAATTGGCCAATTTTTGTAATGAACTACTTATAAATGGACATAGCTGGTAATTTCCCTAATATAAACCCGCAACGAATGCATGTTAACCTTTGGCTTTTTCTTTCTAAACTAAAACTGAGCGAGAAAATAGAAAAAGCATTCGGACGTTAAAATCTTTAAGCTCGATTAACAACTTGATTGCAAGTCAATGATATAATAGGAAGTCAAATTATATTGGATATAGAGAAGCAGCTAGCACAAGGTGGTCCCATGGTCTAGTGGTCAGGACATTGGACTCTGAATCCAGTAACCCGAGTTCAAATCTCGGTGGGACCTTTTTGTTTGTCTGTAACATCTTTGTTTTTTCCAACTCTTAATCTTCTTCGACGAGTCTCTGAAGAAAAATTTAATAATAGAAGGAAAAAAAATGAGACAATGTTTCAAAGACCAACATTTGTTTTTTATATGAACTGATTCAAAGCAAAAACAGGCTAATTGGGAGGTCGAATACACGGAAACCCAACAGGCAAACCTTTTTTAAAAAATAACAATGATGGTGTCTAAATCATTTTGCATATCGATCGACTATTTTATCAAGTACCTATTACCTTCTATTTTGTCTATTGGAAACAACCTCTTTATCTCCACGAGATATGATAAGGTTTGCGTACACACTACCCCTCCCAGACCCCACTATGTGAGATTATAGTGGATTTGTTATTGTTGTTATTTGAGTGCAGATCTCCCATAATTTTTACTCGCTTTATTGACGGCTAGACTATACACTTGGGTGCAAAACCACCTGCCAAACTAATAAAACAATTGTGTCGGAATGTTAGAACAAAGTTGGCATAAGAGCAATGTTACAACATAAGTTGGAACGAGAGAAAATGGCAAGCCTTTTGACTTCAACTCTAAGAAGCAAAGCAATTCAGCAACAAGAAGAAAAGACCAATGAAATGCTTTTTTTTTTTTTTTTCTCTCCTCCATTTGGAAAATGAAAGATTCTGTATAATTTACATTCCATGGAGAGATTAGTAAAAGAGTAAGAATTATAAGAAAAGAATTGGAACGAAACATAAGCCCCCAAAACAATCAAGAAAATGAACCACCACTTGCTAATTCCTGTTGTCCCAACTCTATCCCCAGAAAATACAAAAAAAAAAGGAAAAACTTTAAAATCCCAAAACCCCAATAAACAATTTGATGTTGATGTCCCAGGTTAACAACCCAATATCTCCATTTTCAAAGTTTCCTTTGAACAAGGCTCTCTTGCCAACTTCCATTACCCAATGTAACAAAAACAATGGCTTCCGAAAACGGAGAATGTACAGGGCAAGGCACCCGAATGCAGACCACCGCGCTGCATTATTAACAAAGAATAAATCACAATCACTTCTCTTCTACTCCTCATGTGGTCTCTCTACATCCTGCTCCTCCAATGGCTCAGGGAAAATCTCTTTCGACTGTCGTCTAGTTGATGAAGAGTGACCATTATCCCCATTATGACCACTTCCTTGAGAACCTGTCGTTCCCGATTGCTTCAAACTACTTGTTCCTTCCAACTTAGATGCTGGGATTGCAGGTACAGCCGCTACATCTGAGGAGCTACGCCAGCTGCCAAACAGCGCAGCGTTCCACGAACTTCTCGATGAAGTGGCTCTAAGTCTTGCTGAGCTGGTGTGTTCTTCCCTAACTACCTTCAAAGGATTTTCCAAAGCTTTAAGGATATATCTCATTAACGGTCTTCTTGAAGGCTTGGGGTTGAGGCACGATCTCGCAACAATAGCCATCGCCCATACTTCCTCTAATAAATCTTCATCTATGATTAGGGAAGGATCCACTATGTTTGTGACAAGTTCTTTATCATATATACTAATGTATTTTAATGTACCATCCAACCACTCCTTCATGCTGGCGTCGTTGGATGCACTGATTCCCAGCTTGCCAGTTACTAACTCTAGCAAAACCTTTCCGAAACAGAAGACATCATACGCACAAGTGGCACTAGCTGTACCTGTCCATTCGGGAAAAAGAATATTAGCTTAGGCAGAAAAGTAGACTTTGAAGTAATGCTTAGTGATAGTTTGAGCAACAAGGAGTAACTCGGCAAAAGGTAAAGCAAAACATTGCCACCTAATACTTAGCTCTTTTTGTCTACATTCAAGATAAAAATGTTGTCGATTGTCCAGGCCTTTACTTTCCTTTGGATTCAGTTTCAATCGGAAATCTTCACCTAAGAATTTCAGTTATTCATGGCTTCCAATGAATGCCTACTATTTTTATTTTGTTACCTACACCAATTTGAGATCTTACCAACCAATAACAAGATGGGAAATGTTACCTAAAATTTTGAGTTGTTACCAACACTAAGTTGATAGAGTATATGTTAAGAATATTTTGCGTAAAGTCTATTTACGAGAAGTAGAACTAAACAAAATTGCACATACCTGATGCACCTTGTTCTGATGTCCTGCAAATAAGGAAGAGAAAACTATGTCAAATAGCAGTATAAACTATAAAGCAGTACAGGTTGAAAGAATACAACAAAAAGTTTTGAGATCATTCAACAAGTTTAGATGATAAGCTTAAAAAAATTAATAACCACTCGTAACATCGGAAATACATATACTAGGGAGAAGGTTATGGGAAGGAGTTAGGTTGAATCTTAACCCTAATATTCTGTTGCTCAGTAGAAAAAGACACAGAAAATTAGGAAACCGTCCGATTGAACAGATAAACTGAAAGTTAAATATAGCGGAAGGTTCACAACAGTTGGCCTAACTCAAGAACAGACATCCAAAGCACTCTTCTCTTATTCCAGCCAGATATCATGTCGCCATGCATGAGTTTAGAATATTACCATTTCCCATATTTCTATAATTATATTTGGTTCACCCCTCAAGACACTAGTGCAAACAGGAAATCCATCCTCATACAGAGGATTTGATAGATTTATGGGATGGCTGATCGAGTGGGTTTTATCTTATAATGTTCTTAATATGAGACCTACTTGGCGTAGCGTTAATAACACGAAAAAGAAATGATCTACCAACAGAAACAGATCCAGACTATTTTATTCATGTACACATTCTTGATCTATTTCTCATAAGTGTCAGGCCTACTTAGAAGTGGAATAAAGTCAAAAAAATTCAAATTTTTGTATGATCATTTAATTCAAGATAACTCAAAAGGATATAAATTCTAAGTTATTAAAATGCAACAGAACCTATCACTTGTGACACAGTGTTCAGAGGGTTTTGTCCCTGATGCATCTACGTCTGGCACAATAAAAGTTTCCTTTCGTGTAATTTGCAATAAAAGAAAGAGACTTATCTATATCAATCATTAAAGTAAGTTTTATTAAACCCAACATCTATAATTATTAAAAATATTCACACTTTTAAATCAATCTGGATAGTGATTGACTGTAATCCTGATCAATGGCGTAAACTAAGAGAATCTGAAAAGTTTCTACAGAAGCCATGAAGATCAAATCTAAAAGACCTAAAAATTTTGGCATCTAACATAGGACTCCGAACCAATTCTTCAGTACGGCACAGGCAAAAATATTCATATTACATAGAAAAGAAATAATTTATGGAGGGATAGAACAAGTAACTAACAAGTGTGTGACGGTCTTTCAGACTAGACTCACTGTTACTTACAATGCTCCTTGTAACTTGAATATGGTGAAGAACTAAAGATTATATACAACTGCATGATCACTATCATTCGAACTACACTAGCCAGGGCCTATATTACAAGTTCATAATTTAAAAACAAAGCTAGAGCCAACAGATAGCAGGATGATAAGGTTAAGAGTAAGATTGCTGCATGAACATTAGAATTCTCATTTATAGCATAGCTAATAAAAATTAAAAATACACCAGATGAAACAAGTAGTTTCTATAACATCAAGTCGGAGATCCAGGCCTTATCACTTTTCTGATAGACTAAGAAAAGCATGTTAACAATAAAACCGCCTGATGTTAAGATCCATAATGGGAAAAAAAAAAATTATTGACCACAGTCCAAGCTAGTAGTAAACTAGTTTTTGGCTTCTAAAAGAAAGGATGGTTAGAAAAGTTACCTACATCATTAACAGAAACAAATAGGATAATAAAGTACTTACTGTGGCAGCCTGAACAGCCTGGAAATTCTGTTCTGATGGGTGTCTCCTTCTTGTGCACAGACCTCATTTAGACTCCCTAACCGCACTTCAAACTTATCATCAAGAAGTACGCTGCTTGCTTGGACATCTCTGCAAGAATAGGTAGGGCAAAGGAAAAAGGAGAGTTGTCACCACGAGGTGCACTAGTAATTCTGACAGAAACAAAAGTTTTTTTTTTTTGTGTGTGTGTGTGTGTTTGGGGGGGGGGGGGGGTAGAGTTGAATCCAATAGACTAACTCATGCAATTAAAACCTTGAGGATATCATGGTGAATTACAGCAGAAAAACTATGTAGACATTTAGGGAAGCATCTCCTTTTGATAATTATTGCTTGAACCGAAAACATGCAGATGAACAGTGTGAGAGAAGTGAGGAGTATTGAACACTGACTGGCTCAATAAACAGAATATTTTGTTAGAAAGGAGGAGAATAAGCTGATAATGCATACAACAATATATTATTTTTAAAAATATCCAAGCTGACATTAAAAGGGCACCATGGAGATAAAAGGTACAAAAAATAAGGAGCATTGTATGACGACTATGATGCTCAAGAAGGTTTATTAGTAATAATGAAACTTTATACAATAAAAAACAAAATCGTTCTTAGTTTCAGAAGTAAATTTCTATTTGTGTAGTTAAAAGAATTTCTATTTGTGTATTCACAATATCCCAGCACAGTAGAAAATTTAATGTCATCAAAATCTAAGGCCACATCTCTCGTACCGAATCTAAAACATATAGAAACTGGCTAGATTGGAGATATCGCAGCCACGCATGCAACTACAAAAGCAGAGCTATAAAAGTTTTTATAAGTGCATCGCTCTTGACGATATATAGCACCATAACCCCTGAAAGCCCAAGTTTTAAGTTTACTAAGCGTATCTTAAATTTATTGCATGCAGATGTAGCTCATAAAAACATAAAGAGAAGCCCTCAAGTTGATAGATTCAAGCTCCACCTCCAAGATATTGTGGAGGCTAGCCCTTACATGGTAAACTCTCTATAATAATAAATGAGGCAATAAACATGATAAATCTCCAACTCATAACAAATCAGAAACCATCAACCATGAATTACTGTTCATTCCCGTCTCCTTTTGAAAATCCTGATAAGCTAATAGCTGAGAGCGGATATCTAATATTGCCATTTGTAATTAGGTTTCAATCAACCAGATGTGGCACACATCCATAAACTTGCAAAGATCCTTAACGTGCATAGAGCCCGTACTGCACTGAATTTACTGGTCCAACTATCTTCGGTTGAAAATTTTAGGAGAGCCTTCAATTGAAATCTCGTCCTACCTAGTTCAGAGATACGAAATACACTACGATTTTCGATAGCTTTCATTCAGAGCATTGTCCTAGTATATCCAACGTGCATTAGCCAAAAAGGGCGCTCTCAAACAGCCATTCGCTATTGTGATGGTGTACCACTTTGTACGTCCTTATTTCCACATATACCTAAGGGAAACTTTGTTGGGCTCAATGAGATGATTGGATATTCATGGCAATATTACTCAATCAGAACAGAAACAAGTCTTTAGCCGACCCCAACTTGTTTGAGACTGGGTAGTGGCGGATGTAGAGGCTAAGATGCGGGTTCCTGGAATCCAATAGCTTTTGCCCAGATCTTGTATGTATATTAAAAAATTTATTAAATATCTATAAATATTTGATTATGAACCCAATTATTAACTTGAGAATGATGTAGGAACCCATAAACTTTAAATGATGGATCTGCCTCTGGATTGAGACGTAGCTTCTTTTTTTTCAGAACAGAAACAAGTCTTTGCTGCTAAAAATGAAAAAACTGAACAGCCACTTTATACGATTAACCAATTAATTCCAACTTTTTCTTTTCCATTTATTGGTTTAGCATATAATCTTCCGAATTGAAAATTTGAAGTTTCCTGGTTGGATTAGAGTGCAACAGATGCAGTTGATTTACATCTTTGGTCGCCAATAGTAATTAATAATGATTTTGGCCTAATTGCTTAGAGTAAACCATAGTGACTCACAAAACAGGAAAGCAATCATGCACTCATTCCAGGGGAAACATTGCAGAGACAAGATGTTATAGTGACACCAACGTTATATCAGGGAAACTTTAGTAAGGAAAGCTTTTGATTAAATCATCAAAGTCCGGGATTATCTTCCAGACTATTAAATTAACAGGCATGTCCTTTATTACCTTTGAGTCTACGAAGAAGTCACCAATTATGTACAACCAAGGAACACATAGAGAAAGAGTAGCTGCAACTCTTCCAAGATTATGATCACAATGTTTAAACGAAGACTTGTAGTTATGAGAGTGAGATATGAATGCACTAGCAAACATGGAAATCTAATAGTAGTAAATCACAGAAGTAAGTCTAGCATAGCTATTAACAATTTCTAATATTAACCATAAAAGTGGCGGCACGTGGAAGTAAGAGAAATGCAATATGACAAGGCCTTGATACCTGTGCACTAGAGGCGGGTTACATTCATGATGTAGATAAGACAAGCCCTCAGCAGTTCCAATAGCAATTTTCAGTCTTGTTATCCAATCCAATGACTGCAAACTATCATCATCCGAATTGTTTTTTCTAAATAAAGAACTGGATAGATCTCCATTTGGCATATATTTGTAGACCAGAAACTTCTCATTCTCATTCTCCAAACAATGTCCCATAAAAGGAACTAATCTAGAGTGAGAAACTTTGCTGAAGAAGTCCAATTCTGACAAATATGATTCCTTTTTTGCGGAGCGCACATCAATTCTTTTAACGACTATAAGTGTCCCGCCTTCTAGGGTACCACGGAAGAGATCACCTGAATGGCCGTGCTTCATAAGATTTGAATCACTGAACTCACCTGTGGCTTGAAGAATCTGCTGGTAGGTAAATGCATCTCCTAAACTTGAAAAATTCAATGATACTCCAGGGGGCGGCGGTGGACTTGAACTGGCCGGACCTGGCCCAACCTCAGTGGCTCTTTGAGTCGTGGCAGCCCTTTTGCGGGTGCAAACAAACAGCAGAACTAGACAGATAAGGACAAGTGCAATTAATCCAACACCCCCTAGAACGGCCGCCAATATGATTACATTTTTGTGACTCTTTTTGCTGGATTTGGGAGCTGGAAGAGGCGGCTCTGTGGCATTTGGCAGTCCAAAATCATCAAACGACAAGCCCCGCTCGCTATAGAAAGATGCACACTCACTCCGACTCCTTTGACTTGTTACATTTTGGAGGCAATTACTATTAACTGACACATTGCTTTGTCCATAATCAGGGGCTTTGCCTTGAAAATAGTTTCCTGATAGATCTAGAAAACTGAAGCTTCTGCCTAAAGACGGCAAATTTCCATAAAACATATTCTGAGAAAGATTAAACACTGCGCTGGTGGCATTGACAATGGAACTAACATTTGGCAGAACGCCGGTGAAGTTATTCGCAGAGGCATCTAGGAATTGCAACCCAGGCATTGACCACAAAGCATCAGGCAACAGTCCAGTTAAACTGTTGGAGCTGAGGTCAAGGTCAACCAGATTAGAAAGGTTACCGAGTTGGGGGGGAATCGAAGAAGATAAAATGTTACCAGACAGATTCAAGAACTTCAACTGAAGCAAACTCCCAATTTCTTGAGGAATAGTTCCATTCAAGAAATTTGAGGACATATCAAGCGAAGTAAGATTCTGAAGAGAACCGAATTCAGTAGGAATGGACCTCACAAGCTTATTATTCGAAAGATCAAGAATCGAGAGTCTAGTCAAATTACCAAAGGTGGAAGGAATAGGACCAATAATGGAACATGACCTAAGATCAAGAATCCTAAGAGATGCAAGCCTAAGACCAAACCATTGAGGAATAGAGCCAGGAAGTGCAAAATTGGAGGCATTAAAAGATTCCAAAAAGGTCAAATTTTGGAGGGCATCAACTGAGAATTGAGGGTTTTGACTCCCAACTCTGGTTCTCTTAAAACCAGATATGTTGATCTCAGTAACTCTACCATTCTTACAAACAATATTTGTCCAGTTTAAACAAGGGTTACCCTTTATAGGCCATTCTTTGGCTCTTAACCCTAATGAAGATCTCAGTTGAAGCAAAGCAAATTTCTCAGCTAAAGAACTGACAACACCCTGCTCAAATGTTGAGTCAAACAGCAAGAAAAACACAAAACAAAACAAAACCACTCTGCCCTTTAAGTGCAACATTTCAGCTGAACCTTCATTTAACTTTGCAATTGAAAATTCTCATCTTTTTTCTACTCCACAATAACACATACACATATATATACGATTCTTGATATATAAGGGAATATACATTCTGTATCAGGAAAATTAAAGGGCTTACCTTTTTGAGTGAATCACAAAAAAGCTTTTGGATTCTTGAAAAAAGGAGTGCTGTGTTAGTACTGTTTCTATATCTCTCTCTCTATACCAACTCTTTCTTTCAGTTTCTTCGGTTGATGGGTAAGAGAGATGATTAAAAAATGGTCAAAAGTTTTGGGTTTTTTTTTTCAGAGAGAAAGTGGTGTGAATGAAAAGAGAGAGAGAAGTAGATGTAGAGAGAGAAAGTGAAAGGCTGGTCTGAGTCAAGCACTCTCTGTGATTAATTGGAACACTGCTGTACTCTTGTTACTGTAATCCCCTCTTACAAATCAACAAAAAAAGATTATTTTTTTGTGGGTAAATTTTTTACCCCTTTTGGCAATTATTCTGACAAAAAGTTCCCAAAAAACAAGTTAATAGTAGTATTTTTTTATTTTCGGTCTTAATTAGAGGTTTCGGTTTGGAGCCATAATAAGTTTTTTCATTTTTTAGATTTTATGCGACGCAAATCTAGATTAATTTGGTTCAAAGAGATTACCAAACACTGGTCTGATAATGTGTGTTTCTATCAAGGAAAAATGATATTGTATAGCCGTTGTAAAATTAATAACCAAAAAAATATAATAAAAATATAATATATATATATATATATATATATATGATACCCCTTTTATCTATGGCTCGAACCATGGCTTAGTCATGGCTCGTGGGTCGGGTTCGAAATTGGGGTTGGGAGGGGGGTGTTTGGTGGGTGGGGGTTGAGGGTTTAGTTGACTACGGAAAAGTTGCAAAAAACAGCTAAGCTAAAAACAACTACTTTAATTCTAAATTAGATAAGCATTTAATTAATAATTTAATTTGGTTTGTCTCTCACTAGAATCTCTCTTCTAATAATTTCGGTAATTATTACTTTTTCCCACCTGTTTTGGTAGATCAGTAGTGAGTATCTGTTAGTGTTATGATTCGGCAGCTTTTATGGGATTTTTTAATTACTTTTCTTTTATGTGATTTTTACACTTGAAAAATGGATTACAAATTTGAAGAATTTTATGTGATTATTTATTTACAGCAGAATTAGCATTTTCGAATTTTTTTAATAGCGCTGACGAAGAATTGGCTGCTTTTGTGGTGGAAAAAAGAGTTGAATGATAGGAAGCATGTGTAAGACATTTTGTTATTATTTTTTTAATATAAACAAATGAAACATCTTTGGACGTGCTTGGATTTATCTCCAAAAGAACTTTAGCATATTATTAAATCATGATCTATATTATTATTTTGTTTCCTTTTATACAATATACATCAATATTTGATAAAGCATAATATTTAAAATATTAATTTGGCTTATATATATTAGTAAAGCAATTATTTGCTAATATAATTATTGCGACTTTGTAAGTTTTGCATGTAAAACTTCTCACATAATTATTGCGTTTGATTAACTTTTTTGAAGCCGTTTTATCAGGAGCGCTAAAAGACAATGATAACATGTTTGAAGCCGTTCTATCATTGTTACAATTAATGTACAGCAAAATCACGAACATTCTATTTTCCTTGAAAACATCATATATATGATCATTTCCTCGCTAATGAAATGGTATTTATTGGTCAAAGCAAAATATTTTCATATATTCAAAGATTCTAATTTGTTAATTCAAAGATTCTAATATTGTTTGCAGATAATCATTAAAGATGTGATATTGCAATATTTAAAAGATTTCACAAAATTAATTCATGTAATCCTTTATCCATTTACCATATTTATATTTTGAAAAGAATTCATCTTCATTTATAGCCTTTTTAAAATTCATTACGACATTTAATCGAATTGATTCAAATAAATAATAGATGAGTAGTATTTTATTCAAGAAAAGTAGACTAAAAAATCAAACGTCATAGTGAAGAATTTAGTTGTTGGTTTTTATTAAGGTAAACTAGCTACAACATGCTACTCTACTTTGAAAAAATAAACTCCCTTTGTTATCCATACACAGGCACACACTTGTCATAAAGCAAATTTTTTAATTAAAGCTAAGCAAAGTAATTAATACTGTAAATAATTTGCAGTTCATATTCAAATTGAAGTAAGTAATAATTATCGTTCCAACCATGTCACTTAATTCAAATCTAGAGCTTTAGAAGTTAGAACTAAGCCTAGCTAAAGTGAAGAAATTTTTTCCTACGTGCATTTCTTATATGCGACAATGCAATATGTCCTTTATAGATTCGGTTGAACTCACAATTTTTGACGCGAAATTTTAGTATATGAATAAAAATTACTAAAATTTTAATAAATATTAATTTTAAATTCATAGTTTCAAGTGCCACCAATTTAGTAATAAGAATATAAAAAATGAACCTGTCAAGTTTAAATTCTAAATCTTTTTCATTGTACTCCCTCCGTATCAAATTATCTGTCGTGTTTTTCTTTTATACGTCCCTTGAGAAAATATTAAATAGGAAAAGTTTTGACTATTTTACCCTTATTTATGTCTAAGATATAGCTTGCGTTTGGCTATAGATTCCCAAATTTTTTTTTGAAAAATCTGATTTAGGTGAAGTTTGGTTTGAAGATGAAAATGTGTTTGGACATACGTTTCCAAAACATATTTTCCAAATTTATTTTGGAAAAACATGTATATTATAAGCGTTTGTAAAGATTTTGGCCCAAAATCAGCTATTGAGCTGGTTTTGATAATTTTGCCAAAATATAGGCAAAATCTATGGCCAAACATGTGTTTGTCAAATAAAACCCAAGTTTATTTTGACAAAATCTATGGCCAAACGGGTCAATAATCTCTCTTCGTTGAATACTTACTCATAATTAAGGTATTTGTAGTTTTCAAGAACAATTAATATTAATGGTAGAATAAGAAAAAAAATTTAATTTACTCTTGAACTTATAAAATACTAACAAAATACTAATTTGAGACAACTATTTTTAAAAATCATAACAGATAATTTGAGACGGAAGGGGTAACAATTTATTTTTCTAACAAACTCAACACTTTTTTAAAAATCATTTCTACTCGAAATCTGAAAAGTTGAAGTTGTTGAACATTAATTAAAGGTTAAGAATAAATGGTGCAAAGACAATGGTGGAGCCTTTGTTTCAGTGTGTGCAATAAATATGTATATATTATGGGGACATGGAGCAAAATTGAAGCAATCATGAAGTCAAACACTATATGATGATGGTCAACTCTATTTTATTTTTTTATTTTTTTTATTTTTGCTATTTTGTTTTGTTCTTGGATTTGATTGCAGTGTGGGCATCTTCTTATCCAACCTCAGATGTCAACAACAACCAGTAAAAGACAGCAATATATACTTCCTTAAATTTTCCTTGGCTCTTTTCACATAAAAAGGCAAAAGTATTTGTACAAACTCATATTTCAGGCTACTTTGTGTCATGTTCATGTTAGGTTTTAAACAAGCAAAAATAATAAAAAATGATAAAATTAATTTACTTGGTGGACCATTCCCTCAAAATAGAAGAAACCTACATTTTGTCCCAAAAAATGAACATATTTGTCCCAAATAATCAAACACTTCTTATAGGGAAGTTGTCTTCTGCCTTTTCTATAAACTCAACTTTGAGTACTACCAACGAACGAAAACGCGTTTCTTAAATCAAAGTAAACGATTGAATTTAAGTGTGTTTGGTATATCAGAATATATTTTCTGAAAAATAAGTCATTTTTTTGGTATTGTTAATTATAAGTATTTAATACGCATAAACTCTATTTACAACAGTCAACGTTGTTTGATTTGCTAATATTATTATTAACTGCTTTTTTCACAAAATATTTTTCTAGAAGATGTTTTTTTTATCGTTCCAACCTTAAATGAATAAATTATTAGTATTTTGCTAGTCTTGCATTTTTTTTTCACTTACAGCTTGTTTGGATGGTTGTTACCTATTGTATTGTATCGTATTGTTACTTTAAATACAATGTTTGTTTTGATTGTTACTTAAACTTTATTATATCGTATCGTTAAATCCGTCGTTACGTAACGATGAAATGTGCCACTTTATGTGACGACCAATTTGGTGTGGTTGCATCATTACCTTGTCTTTTTCTCTCAATCTCACCCTTCATTATTATTAAATAATTTTATTTTATCATTTACCCTAACTCTGTTATATACCGTATCATAATTTTTCTTTATAACATTGCAATTTTATTCATCATATTAGCATTGCATGATACCATGAAACGACGGCAAAACGACACAATCCATCCAAACATTGTATTCATCAAACGATACAGTACAATACAATACAATACGATACGATACATTTTGAAACGATATGGAGCAACCATCCAAACAAGCTGTTAGCTAGGTAGGGATGTTCATACTTTTAATGTTGTACTTAAGGGTTATTATATGGTAAATAATACAAGAAATGTGTTGCATATACTATTATATATATGAGTACATACTTTTGCCTTTATATATATATATATATATATATATATATATATAATATATATATATATATATAATATTATATAATATATATATATATATATATATCAAGATAGTCTCAATGCACATTCTCTTATTTCATGTTCTATCGTTAGATTAGCTAGTGTTTGATGAGAGTATTTGAAAAGAGGTTGTTTTGTACTTCATTGAAAAAAGAAAGAAAGGAAGAAGTGTTTAAAAGCACTTTTTTGTCTTATGTAGTTTAAATATTTTTAAGGATGTTTTGGAGGGAAATTGGAAATTTGATTAAATTATTAATAGTCAAGATTGGACTTTGGGCCTATTAAATAGTCTGGAAATTCTTAGTCACCTATTAATTAATTTAAAATGTTTTTTTAAATTAAATTTCAGAAAACGTTTTTAATAGTTTTCGTTGTTTAAATTCAAAAAGGTGACTATTGGTTTTTAGAATGTGCCTATTATAAAAAGATGACTGTCACACCTCCTTTTTCGCTACACCCGCAAGGGCGTAAAGGAGTTTTTCCATTTAAAGGACAATCGAAACGAGATTTATTTATTAAAATTCAGAGTCGCCACTTGAGAGATTAATGGTGTCCCAAGTCACCGGTTGAATCCCGAATCGAGGAAATTATTGACTCTGTTTAACAGTCCGCGATCCAGAAATCCGAGTAAGGAATTCTATTAACCCGGGAGAAGGTGTTAGGCATTCCCGGATTCCGTGGTTCTAGCACGGTCGCTCAACTGTTGTATTTGATTTTATCTGATTTCAAAACATGTTCTAACTTATGTGCCTTTTATTAGTAACCCGCTTTTATTTTATTTTTAAT